CATCAGTCCGCTGTGCACGGAATCTTGTCATGCAAAGGCTTGGGTCTGGTGGGCTACGGCCTGCGCATGCATGTCTGCTTGCGGCAAGTGTCCGCAGCGCAGCATGACAGGAAAATGCAACCCCTCTCCCACCTGTTTGAAGAAAACACTTTTCCTTGCATACCCTCATGCGATCTCTAGAAACCTTCACAGAATCACGTACCAACCTGACAAGCCTAGCTGGAAGCGACCAGGCATCCCCGAAGAAACCCGGAAGTGGGATCCCCAGCACAGCGTCCTTGGCACGATCACCCTGTCCTTTGGGCAATCAGGAAGCAGGGCCATTGGATTCTGGAGAATAATCTGGGGACGATCAAAACTCATCATCTTTACTCCACTCCGCCTTTTACCCCAAGATGCTAAAAAAATCAAAAATAGCCAAGAGCAGTAAGGTTCAGTCTAGGTACTGAGCCGGCCCCTAGTTCAAGCAACAGAGCTCTGGAGCTCCGGGAGCTACCACTGCAGCACGCATTCAACTCCCTAATCCAAGCGTGTCAGCAGGTTTCCATACAAAGAGAATCTATGAAGTGACCTGGCTTGCAGTAGCCGGAACACAGGTTCCCTCGAGTTTTCTTGAGGGAGCTGTAGTAAACCAGAAAAGGTTAACCTGTGGATTCAGGAATTGCAACAATCTCAAATTGGTCGGAAATTACATCGGCCCTGTATTGAAACTCCAGATTTCTAGCCAGTCCGTACCACGCACGGAGCAGCAACCGATGCTTCGGACCCTACTGATTAACACTAGGGGCGCCGAGTTCAAATCTTGTCAAGAAAAGCACAGCCCAAACCCGAAACCCCCAAACGCGAAAACCCTCACACTCTACAGCAACCCAAAAACAGAGTAAGAATCACGATTTGCTGGCCCGGGCTCGATCCAGCGCTTTGCTCCGCTCTGCCAGGAAGGGCTCCTTCCAGTCGTCGTAGATCTCGCAGGCGCGCGTGGCTAGGAGCATGTTGAAATCCACTCTCTCCATATTCTTGAAGTTGGAGCCTCTATGTAACTAATTCCAGCTACAACTTCCAAGTCCAGTAGCAATATTTAGAGGTAGGTCCTAACCACCGCTATTCCGCAGGTTGTAGCCTCACCAGGGCTCCCACTGATCCTGATGTGGAGAAGTGCTCATGGGCGAGATTTCGGAGCAGGAACTGCTCTTGTAGGCCCCGTTTCCTGATAAGGTCCAAACTTTACAAAGACTGCATGCTCTAGTGGGGCAGATAACGCACACACACACACACACACACACACTCCTGTCATATTTGTGCCTAGGTAGCAAAATTTGCACTCAACAAGAACAGTGATGTACACCCTCGCTCATGTGGCTACTCACTTCACCTTATTGCTAAGGTCTCCCATGTAGATTGGTCTTGGTATTTTCTCACTAATGCTTTGAGCATCTGGGGCTGACGTGACATCTCGCGGTACCCTTCCAACCAGTCCGAATCCGAGACGACTACCCTCCCCGAAACCAACATGGAACCTGAAGTAGGCCCCTTTTAAAAGGAGAGTAGTCTATATAAGACCCCTTCTCAACTTCCAAGTTAGTTTGGGGGAGGGTATGTGCTTTTTGTTCGAAGATGAGGGTGCCGCAGGAATGGGGGATGCCAATTTTGGGGCTTGCATCCAGCTTTTCGCGTGAGTGCATGTAACATCGCCCTGGTTGCCTCTTTGCACACTTTGCAGGTAACACAGGATGCTCAGCTTGTGGGGTCAGGAGGGGTGCGGGGTTCCCAAGTCCAGCTACACTCCCCGATGCTATGCCAGTGCCCACTCTTTTTTGCCCGCCATATGGATTGCTCTAACCTGGGGTCCGTTCCCTGTTGCTTTCTCTTGAGGGCTATGGTGACTCGGCACATGTCCGGAAGTGACTTCCAGCCTTGCGCAGTTCCTCCACATAACGGGCGTGAAGCTCGTCGATTTGCTCCTGTCAACGTCAGGCTGGGGATTTTGGCCTTCAGACTATCATAGAGGCATGTAAGTACGCATCACGACCACTCTGGTTGCAAGGATCAGCAGACTATGCAAGGAGTAAGGAGCATTGCTTTGCGAAAGGCAAGGCCGTTTACCGGTTCTCCCTCGCAGGAAATCGGAAACCCAAAACCACAAAAGGAATCTTCAAATGGCCGCTTGGGATTTCGGGTTAGGAGGATTCTCCGAAGAATTTGAAGACCAGTTGTTTTTTCCATTTTGGCTCAAGAACTGGGAGGCCCAGGGTACTTGTGACCGACTCAAGGCTAAACTAGTCATATAGCCCCAGATGCTGCTCTACGTATGGAACTTAAGTCGAACTTTAGAAAAGCTACAAGTCCCTAGGCCTCCTCAAGCCAGGATCGAATACGAACTGGATGAGCTCGCATGGAGGCTTGCCCTATACCCTACACTTCAAACTTACAAAACAATCCAAACTCTTAACTCTAAGCACAACCTTGAAACTTGTCATCTGTACACCTCAACCCCAAAACCCTAAACAACTCACATTCGGTCTTGGTGTGGACAAGGAAAAACACCAGAAGAGGTTGCGAAAGCTGTCTGACTTCGACGGAAGCAAGGAGCCGTAATGCTAAGGCCTAAGACCTGACTTGGACTCTTAAAACCAAATAACCCTGATCTCTGAACCCTGAAGCCTGAAACCCGAACACAAAACATTAAAATGACTCCTGGACCCAGGCTTTTGGCAGGTGTCCTACAAGGTTAGAGGGCCTTTGAAAATTGGAGAACTCCCCTTAAACCCTACCCTTCCCTGAAATCGCAGGCCTGAGTTGGGTTGGGAACTGGAGCATCCACGTGGATGGGCCTGCCCACAACCGACTGAACCTCAGATGCTCGTGGCAGTCACTCAGGCAAAGCGCGAGGGCAGGCACGGGTCAGTTCATGTAATTCACATCCCCTTTGTTTAAATCTCCTGTAATGAGAAGCCGAAAATCCGAGAGTCCCTGGAAGGAAACATAAGCAAAACTAGTTGATTTCATAGGAGCTCTCCCTGCCTCATGAGCTTTGGCTTCTTCGAAATCCCTCTGCACAACGCAGGAGCCTCATGAACTCTTGCAGAAAGCTGGGTTTGGCACGGGCATTCGCAGGGGCATCACGCCCCTGTTCATGCCGAAGACACGGTGGAGCACGCCGCCTGTGAAAGGCGTCGTGTTGCATGACAGTCCAACATGCATGGAAACACCATCTAAACCCTCAACCCTAGAACCCTAAACCCTAAACCCTAGATTCCCTAGATCCTAAACCCTGAATCCTCAGCCCTAAACCCTTTAACCCTAGATCCCTATGCTTCTCGGGAAACTGCCGCTCCGGGCCTGTCAGGGCCCGGCCGAAGAAGAAGGGGATGCCGAAGCCTTGGAGTTCCCCAGCTTGGGAGTTTCAGTTTTTTTTTCTTCTGGATTGTTGCGATTTTTTGTGGGGTTATGTAGCGTCGGGTTTTGGGCTTTTTGGGACCCGCGCAGCAGCTCCTAACACCGGCAATATGAAACGATGCTTTGGGGGTTTGTGTTCAGGGGTTCGGATTTTGGTTCTTGAGTTTAAGGGTTTCAAGGTTTCGCTCGTACCGCTTGCAGAATCCGTACTCATTACGATGATTGAGAGCAATCCGGCACGCTTGGCTCTCTCACCGGGTGTCGGCGCACCAAAAAGTCGAGGAATGCATGCTCGAAGTAGTTGGATGGTGTCGTTGGACGCTCTTGGGATTCCATTTCATTCTGGCTGTCTTTTCTGGCGATTAGCACAAATAGATTCCTATCATTCCCCCAAAAGCAATACCCACACTTGCAAACAGTACGATAAGCCGTAGGCTATGAAACAGGGCACCTAAAGTGGCTCAAACTCTTTGCCGTAAGGGTTGCAAGGACCCTGACACAAGCTCCAGGAAGTCCAAAAGGTCCAGGCAGCATCACAAGCTCCAACAGGCCACCACAGCTCCGAAAAGCAAAAAACAAAACCTGCAGAAAGCTCCGGACCTGAACCATCTACAATTTCTATAAACCCTAAACCCCAAACACCATATCCCACCAAACAGTAATAAAAACCCTTTGCTCGCGTCTCTGCAACTGAAGACTTGGGCTTCTGTTGAGTTCCTGGCCCAGCTGCTTCTGCAGCCACAGCTGTATCCTGACGCTTCACTGCTGGCTTCGTAAACGAGGTTCGAGCTTGGGGCACTCGTTGGTGTAGTGAGTTTATAGATAGATGCATATATATATATATATATATATATATATACATATATATTTGATGACACCATGTTTCGTGATGGTGTTTTGTGTTTTATCACTCTTACATTCCACCACATAATTTCGTGTCATTTTCGATTACTTTATATCATATTGTAGTATCTTAGATTGTATTTCGGTATAGCATCATACCATTGCATTACATTATATCACATTACATCATACTATATCATGCTATACTATATTACTTGTCATTATATGTTATCATATGATATTAAAGTTTATTATTCTTTCTTGCATGTTTTACCATGTCATGTTACATTGTCCCTTGGACAAAAAGATCTCAAGCATTCATAGTTCGCGCATTCTGGTTTTCAAAGTTCAAAGTCTTGGGTCTCCTGGTTAAGGCGACAGTCTCGAACCCACAAGCCCCAAGCTGAAAACCCTAAGCAAGTCAAACGCGTTGAAACCTATGGCCCTCAGCAGCCTTAGTGGTGATTCAGGGGGAGTGGGGGACTGCATCGCATGAAGAGGATACCTGTATTCAATCCCGTACTCTCCAATCATAGCAACATGACAGTCTCAGGCGTAGGAATTTCAAGACTTGGGCCTCCCAGAATCAGATCTCGAAAGTGGAACCCACAATTGTGTACACTCTACTTGAGGGTTGCTATGTCTGAGAGGTCCCGTTACGGTCCGGTTTTTCTGGTCCTCATTGAAATCCGTTGGGGGGAAGGCCCAATTTCGAAAAGTGCGGGTACCTTTCGCGGCAAACGGAGGCTTGGAAAACCCTAATACAGGGATTGTCCTTAAATGACAACAGTACGGGTCCCCCTTTTCTGACTCCTAGAACAATATCGGTCCCTAAATGGGTTTCCCTCATTTAGAAAGCAGAAGTTAAGGCAAACTCCCTGCACCCTGAACCCGAAAGCTAGGAGTTTTGTCTAACTTCCATACAAGTTACGAGCCAACCCAGACTCCCAAAAGGATCAAAAATTCGATCCCTCTGGGATTATATAGCAGGTCATATAGGGATGTTATGAGGATTTTACAAGATTTTCTAAGAGATCTAATTTCTAGATCCCTGTAGGGGTCTGGGAAAGTTTGGGATCATGGGGGACCTATTGGAGTTGCAGGAAGTCGGAACTATGCGGGCACCGTGGGGGCCGAAACTACCTTTTAGGTGTGGGAGTTTAGGGGTTAGGGTTCAAGGTTTGAGGATCACTTTAGTCGGGCTCATAACCCTACATCTTTAAACCCGCAAACCTTAAATCCTACAACCATCAAACTCCCACCCTCAAACCCTAATTTTCATTTGGAGCAGTGGCCGTGCTGAGTTCCGTCGCCCCGACTGCAACAGTATGATCACCCAACCTAAAGGCTTCTTTGAAGGCCCAGGAAATAAATGAAACATATTTGGACTTCTGATGCAACTCAGATCGGAGCCTAACCTGCAACCTGTGGCTCTGGGATGCATGCTTTTCTTATAAGTTCAGTTCCTTTCCCAAGTGGCTCCAAAAATCCGAAGTGATGTACATCCCAACGTTCGCACTAATCCCTGCAAAGGCTCCGATCTGTGCACCGCAATAGAATTCGGAGTTCAACCGGGGGGCCGCCAAGCATTCCATGGCCCCCAAAAAGTTCACTCTTGAAGTGTAGTCGGACTGTTTTTGCAGTTTCTTGAATTTGGGTCCCAAATTGCACGTCAAATTGCCAGAAATCCTCACAGTGAAAACACCTGAGCAGAGACCCTGCAAGCGAACATCTACTTTTCCCGGAAGCACCCATACACATATACCTATACAGTTCTACGCACATGTATGCATGTATGCATGCTACCATACAACTCTCCCTCTATATAGCTTTTGCATATACATATACATATACGTATTCTTTTTCAATTGCATAGAGTAAAGTTGTAATTGCAAAGGGTGCAGGGCCTCATGGTTTCTCTGGTGGTCCTGGCTCTGGCCTGCGAAAACGGCTGGATGCATAAACACCGAAGAGATCCGTCTCACCGAAGGAGTAGGGTTGCTAGGCTAGCGGTAATGCTGCTAGCACTACTGCTGCACATACTACTCATAACAATGCGGACAAAACTACAAGCACGAACAATCAGTGGAACTAACTCGCTCAGTACGCCCGCTTACCGTGCCCAGTTGGCCTACTACGCATGGTATATGGGCATACTACGCCCGATCGGTAACTGTAGGACCTACTAAGCATGCTTCTCAGCCCAAGGGACCATGCCGCTTTGAGACACCTCCTGGCAAGAGCTTCCGCAAGGGTTTACGGTTCGGAGTCCGAGGCTGGCACTTGTCCAGGCTTTGTAAACTCAAGGTCTTTTCCATTCCTCTTGTGAAAAGCAAGGCTCCCCTACGGAACTAACTGTATAACAGGTATACATATGTTTATATGATCCCGGTTCTCGGTTCATCCTTCTCCAACGCTCTCCAAGCCGAGTGACTGTGCACGCTTTTTCCATACGAGAGCTCACACGAGCAACCCCACGCAGCGCAGAAAACCCAAACTCACACCACAGGGGGAAGTGGGGGACCAGCTGAAGCAGACCCACTTCCCAACTACAAGATCCACCACAGAGAGGGAGAAGCAACCACAACCACACCACACCACATGGAGAGAGAAGAGGAACCATTGCGAGGAGAGGCAGCGAGTGGGAGGATTCCATCAGATGGAGGGTGACAAAGAGAACCCTCAAAATCGACAGGTCCTCCGAAATGAATTCTCGCCTATGTCTCGAAACAGCCTCTTGTCCACTTCGGATCTCTATGAAGGAGCACCCAGTCCAGCCATTTTCTGACCGGCGAGCCCGGCAACATGAAGGACGTGAAGAACTCGTTTCTGAGGGGAAGGTGATTTGGTGGCGGGCTGAAGGAGCTCAGCCTCAGTGGGGCTTGGAGTACGTAGAGGTCCTCATCGTCCTTGTCATTGGCCTTGCCCGGGGCTGGGCCCCAGACCTTCGGGCGAAGGGGGGCTTAAGGGGGGCTTCAAGGGGGGCTTAAGGGGGGCTTCAAGGGGGGGCTTAAGGGTCACCC